CCGTTTTATTACGATTACCACAAATGGATAGACGGGTCGACCGTCTAAGTGGTGGCGAACGACGTCTGGTCTCTCTGTCCGCAGCACTCATTCACTCACCGAAGCTCTTAATACTGGATGAGCCGACCGTAGGGGTCGACCCCCTTATAAGGCACCAGATATGGGGCTATTTGGAGGACCAATGCCTCAAAAATGGTTGCCCACTCTTTATACTGCTGACCCTTTCTCTAACACTAAACCCTGTATTTGTATGAATAGACACAACAGTCATAATAAGCACTCACTATATGTCTGAAGCGATAAACGCCGGAACCGTATGTTTCATATCCAACGGCCAATCTGTAGCCTATGGAGCGCCACAACAGCTTCTTATAGACTACCGGTGCCACACATTGGATGACGTCTACTATAATTCCTGTCAAGATATTGGCAAAACTGTTTCCATCATAAATAATACATCCATAAGCTTTACACCTGATATGACCCATAATTATAACAAATTAACAAAAATATTTAAACCAATTAATAGGACGCGTATGAAAGCACTGGTATTTCAACACAATATAGCTTTCAAAGCTAACATACCGTTGCATTTATTATATTATTTATTCCCTATACTAACCATTTGTATCGTACATATGGTTGTTGACGAGCCACATAACATTCCCATTGCTATCGTGAACCGGGAATCCAATGGGACGGCACTACTGTCCCACCAATTCGTAGACCTATTGGACAGTAAATTGTTTTTCAAACGCCTGTACGACACAAACACAACGGCATACGAGTCGGTGGTGTTGGGCAAAAACATACTGTCCATTGTATTGGACGAGGAGTTTAGCCATAAGTTTCATCAACTAATCGCTGAACCCTGGGATGTTGATTACGACGATGAAAGTAGCTTGGTCAAATTGCACGTGGATATGACTGACTCAATCAGAGCTCAGTTAGTTTATTTTAATATAATACAAGCGTATAAGCTACTAGCCCAAAACTATAGAAAATTGATCGGTGTCAATCCAAACGCCTACACCTCGCCCATAGACATACAGTTACATCAAAATTATAAGTTCAGTGAATATCGCATATACAGCGTTTACTTTATTACCGGGGTCGTAATTGGCATATGCCAGTTTTTCACACTAGTATTTAGTGTGTATTTTGTATTAAATTTCACAGATGACCGTTCATGTGGCAAGTATGATAGGTCAATTATGGCGGGCATATTGCCCATTGAAATGTTGCTAGTTAAATACATGGTGATGCTTATTCATATCATAATACAAACACTTGTTGTACTCCCGGTGTTTATATATTTAAATGATTACACCATTGATGGTCGAGTATATTACATGGCCTTGTTATTGGTGTTGAATAGCCTAGTTTACATGTGCCTGGGTGCTTCAGTGAGTTTGTCGATACAATCAATTCCCTCCAGTATGGTATGTCATTGAAATCTTAATAGAAACCATAATATTTTTAAAATAATATGTAGACATTACGTGTTTATATTTGTTAAACGCAATTACCTTTATTAATATAAATAATTTCCTAATATATTATTAAAACAATTTTTATAAATATTTCTATTATTTACAGGTGTTTATCGCATTTATGACATTTCCTTCATGGGCTACAACAGGCCTATTATGGCCGATAGAGTCAATGCCAGGGGTACTAAAGTTTGTGGCACAGTATATGCCCCTAACAGGTGCGGTCACATCCATGCGCTACGTCGCTGTCAATGGTTTATCGGCGTTAACTAATTTTAACGTACTTTTTGGTTACGCACTTTTATGTGCTTACTTAATTATTTTTACTGTGTATAATATATTTATAATTTATAAGATATAACTAAATGGTGTTGCCGTAAACCATGTACTCCTAAATGCAATGATCCATTTCTTTATTACTGCAAAACTGGATGTGAGCTAGGTAGTTTTACTTATCTAGTTTGTTATAAGAGTTGGGTGCTAGAAAGTACTGTGGCAAATGTGTGCCTTGAATATTATTTTTAAAGTATGTAATAATTTTAGCATTCACGGATAAAAATAAGTAATTAAATTTTAATGTTGTTAAAATAAATGATCTTAAACAAAACGATATTAACATTATTTATCAACTTAATTTTTAAATGCAGTATATGACATTGCTGAACTAGAGTTTTAACAGCAAATGTGCACTCAATTAAAATTCATCTCAATTTTGATATTGCTTATTTATTGTATTTTTGAATTGACACAATTTTTGATCTGTTAATTTAGCAATGTAAATAACTTTAACACGGGTATATGTTTATAAAAGGTAAAACAATTTGGATAAAACAAATCATAATATTGAACCCGGTTATTTATTATATGTAATTCAGTTATTTAAGGGCTGCGACTATTTTTGAGACGATCTCCCCGGCCATCACGTCCATAGTGCTCAGAGTGTGGACGGCATTCATTTCAATATTATGCTGTCCATCCTATTTGGAAATGTTATACAATATATATCTTATATTATAAACCTACACTAGTATAATTTAAATATTTTAAATTACAAGAATAATACATCCATTTGAGCCGGGTAAGAAATACAAATCCCTTGACTTTTCCATCACATCATCCAGATTATCCACGCCATCAAACATAACCGGTTTAATGAAAACCAATTTCCCCGTCCTTTTCGTCCATTTCATTGCGATCGCGAGTTTCAGTCGATTTGAAAACTTCTTGCGTTTATTGAGTCTATACTCCGATAGCATACGTATCCGGGCTATCATAACGTGAAATATCTCCTCCATTTCGGGCGCCTGTAGTCCTTTGCCGGCAAACTCTAAAATTTCATTAACAATAAACCGCACTTTAACGTTGGTATCCGGCTCATTTTTAGAATATCTTAGTATTTTCTTCTTGAACAACTCTGGTATATCACTGGCCATGTAGTTCATGATTAGCTCCAGCATTAGGTCGTCGGTGAGCTGTTCGTCACAGATCTGTAGATCACTAATAATGTCCACAATAACAGCCTTATCTACCATTCCTTTCAGTAGTAGTTTAGCGCAAACTATGGACGTATCGAAATACCCGACCACATCGTACTGACCCTTTGGCTCTAAACTTTTCAAAAGGTCGATGTAGTACTTACTAATGTCTTTGAGCGTGGTCAGTTGGCTAACCTCACTGGTCCAATTTAAACCAATTAGTGGACGGTTTAATTTATGATTTATAATTTATTAAAAAACATGAGTGAAACGAGTGCTGAATATGCAGTTGTGGTGCAAAATGTTTGCTTCAGTTATGGGTCAACACATCCGGTGTTAACACAACTCACGACTCGAATACCAAAAGGTTTTCATTCATTGTTTCATTAGTTTTGCAATCATTTCTATGAGTGCTGCGGACAGAGAGAGAGAGAGAGAGAGAATATTTAGGAGTTTTTCAATTATATACAAAGTCACATTAAGGTTAAGTAATTTTATCTAGTTGAATAATCTGCACACAAAGTAGGTTGATTTTAAAACTAAATGAATCTCCTACATTGAAGGTTAAAACTGTATTTTAGAGTTTTTTAACCATAAACAAAATATTATTTTCTAAATATGTATACAATGTGTAAATATTATTTTAAAACGAGTTATACATTGTGATTCTTACCAAATTCATAATATTATATAATGTTAATTTTGTGACATGGTGAGTGATCCGGCAACAGGAAAAGCAAATTATTATATTTAATATTATACCAGTATCAGTTACTAACAGATTGTTAGATTTAGTAAAACTATAGATTACATACATTGTATATTTTTTATATTTAATAATAAATAAATAAAGTTTATTAATTGTGTGAAAAAATGAGTGAAACGAGTGATGAATATGCAGTTGTGGTGCGAAATGTTTGCTTCAGTTATGGGTCAACACATCCGGTGTTAACACAACTCAAGACTCGAATACCAAAAGGTTTTCATTCATTGTTTCATTAGTTTTGCAATCATTTCAACATTTATTCACTTTTAGGACAAATCTATGCGTTGTTGGGCTCTAACGGCTCGGGAAAGACCACTCTATTGAAGATAATATGCGGTCGACTCACACCCCGTTCCGGTCGGGTAGAGGTGTTTGGATGTAAACCGGGACCCAATCACCCGGATATTCCCGGACCGGGTGTCGGATATATGCCTCAAGAAATAGCTTTGTTTGAAAACTTTTCAATCAAACAAATCCTCA